TGGCGCGGCGCGGCGTCGCGTGCCTCACGAAGCGCCAACTCGCCAATTGGCGCAGCCGCAGTTGCAGCCCCGCACGCGGATTCCGCCGCGCCCAACGACCGCCGCTTGCGGTAAAGCGGCTGCGGAGTGCTGCAGCGGAGCGGCGCCGCCAACGCGGGGAAGTGCTGCTCGTCAACGTCATGCCTCATCAAAGCGTAGGGGTCTACTTGGCTGTCTGGGGAACGCCGCGTTCTAGGCACGGATGCCAACGTTTTAACCGAAATGCTCCGGCCTTCCTCAGGGCGAAATGCGCGGAGATGGGCTGCTCATAGAGAATCAGCTTTTCTTCTACTCATGCATGTTTCTTATGTTCTTTTAAAACATTTGGATTAATTTATTGGTTAATAAAGCTTTAATGTTCTTCAACGTTTATGGTTTTGGGGCCCATGCATATCGATTATCGACATGCATCGATAAATTCAATTGTATTTGAAAGAAGTTGCACATTATGATGCATTATTTGAATTTTTGGCATGTAACTACACCGATGTTTCTTTGCTGCAATTAACTGTAGTTGCTATTTATTTTTCTCATGTTTACCTCGAGCGCCGCGAAGGAAGTCCAAGCAGTGACCGGATGTGGGAGGAAGGAGGGAGATAAATGTAGAGAAATGACAAATGGGAGAGGTAGTACAAGTATTAGGTTCAGGGGGTAAGGTAATTGGGTCTAATGAGGTCTCAGAGGATGCAAGAAAACTAGGAGATGTGTGTGTGTGTGTGTGTGTGTGTGTGTGTGTGTGTGTGGATGGGTGTTTTCCGACAAGATTCAGGTGAAGACTATTCTAGGTGAAGTGTTTTTCTGAGGGAAAGTTGAAAAAAATTGATAACAGTGAAAAATGATAGCAGTGAATTTCAAAGTACATGAAAATTTGAAAATGTTTAATACCGCGGTAGGAAGAATTTACTGCTGATAGAATACATGTTTTGAAAACTAACCGCTTTCAAGCAAAATATCAGTCTGTATTTCAAGTAAGGAAGAGAACGACGAGTTTATTTCTGGGGAGAGTGATATTGATTCAACCCAAAAAGCTTGATAATAAATCAATTCCAGATCCAATAGGAAACAACAGGACAAATACGTTACTAGATCATGCTACAATCTCTATGGATTTGTTTCTGAAGGATATGTAGCAGCTATTATGTAGAATAATATATGCTAGTTTCAAACAACAATCGCTAACCTCTGTTCAACGAACTACTTGAAATATCACACAGAACGCTCACATTCTCACCACTTCATTAAAACGAATCGTTGCGTTAATTACCAATGACCTCCTCAATTACGATTGAACGGTAGCTTGTGTGTGTGTATGTATTGGATGAATTTTTTAAACGTCTGGTAGTCAAATGATAACTTAAATGAAATAAAATTTGAAAATAAAAAATCGCAGAAGTCAAGATTAAAGCAAAAATCGTTTCTTTGATTGAAAAATAAAACAGCAAAATCTCGGCAAAAACGAAACAACTGAATTCACTCAACTGATAGCAGCGGTATGCAACACAGACATTCTTGTTGTATGGTATCTACAAAGTAAGAGCAACGCATTTGACAAGACCAGATCGAGGCCTATGGAATCCGGTCACCAAGGAAACTTGCGCGAATAGAAACAAATCCACATTTAATGAGCATCTCTTTGGGCCATTGGTTAGCATACTGGCCTTTGAACCTCCACAACGCGTGTTCGATCCGGCTGGGTTGAACGGATTTTCCAAGAGCGGGATAGCCGCTGTGACATTGCCGCACTTGCGGGTTGTCAAAGAACCCTGACTAAATGCTCGGCCCAAGTAAATGCAATGTCATTCTTGTCTTAATTAGATTTCACATTTGCTTAGCAAAGGAACGCTTCAAGTAATAGATGAATATTTCTAACACCGTTGTCGTGATGGTCTCTGACGGGGACTGACACGGGAGAAAAATATACTGACAACGCTCGGAGTCTACTAGTTGCCAGAAAACTAACATATTCCAAAAACTCGTACGTCGGGTAAGAGCCAATAAACAAATCTCCAAGTATTAGAGACACCCACCGACTGACTTGGCTCAGGGCATCAACTAATCATTGCAGTGTCACTAGCTTTCAAGGTTCAAGGATTCGAATACCGACAGTGGCAGGATTTTCGACACTCTCTGGATTTCTAGATCGAATTCAGCCGCTGTCTGGAGGACAATTCTAGCGGCCGGCTGCTCTTATCGGTAATTTTCCGTGGTTTCTCTTATTAATAGCTGGAGAATAGCGGAGCAGTGCCTAACAAACGGGCCCTCGACCGCGCATGACCTTTCTTTCCTGTTCCTTGTCCTTTCTCCTTACACACACACACACACACACACACACACACGCACACACACACATACATACTTACATGCACTTTTCACTATCTCACATGCCGGGGTACTAGAATAGGGCTAACAGCTTTTTCGGCTGTGGCGGTGTCCGCTGGTGAGAGATACCGGGTTGGGGAAAACCTCGCAAGCCGACATGAAGGACGGCGCCGGTTCTCCCATCCAGCAGGGGGGGGAATTGGTCTCGCAGGATGTACAACGTGCGCTACACTTACGGGAAAACGACCGTTGACGTTGACGCATCCGGGAACACGAAATGATCGATTGAACGCAGGGCAAAGCAACGAAGCAGCCAGACTCACCGGCCAGGCACGTAGACCGCGGTGGCGCCGCCGCCCAGCAGGGGCGACCGGCTGATGGAGTTGGCGACCGCCGCGTTGCCCGGCTGGCTCACGCCGTTCACGCCGTACTGCGGAGCGTCCGGGTAGGCGAAGGCGTTGGCGAAGGCGGCGTCGGTGCCGGCGGCGTCGGCGTCGCCGTAGCCCGCGCCGCCGGGCTCCTTGAAGTCGCCGAAGTCGTCGACGCCGCCCGCGCCGCCGCCCAGCGACCCCGACAGCGGCCCCGACAGCCCGCCCGACGAACCCGACGCAGAGGCGAACGTCGACACGCCCTGCGGTGGTTACACAGAGAACACAACCTCACATTTACACTCAATTTATTCGAACAATTTAATAAAAACATCAGTCGAACTCTCGAACATTTTTATCGTAACTGCAATGAACGGAATGTAAACTTCAATAGTCTTAGTTTAATAATCTAAAGCTCAAATTCGGTAATCAATAATCGGAATATTAATTTTACATTTCACACACGGCCCTGATGGGTTTGTTAAATGACGAACACAACCTCACATTTACATTGAACGCAGAGTAATTTGAACATTTTTATCAAAACATGAGTCCCTGGAATGAACTGAATGTAAACTTCAATAATCTTAATTTAATAATAGAAAGTTCAAATTCAATAATGAAAAGTCGAAATCTTAATTTTAAATTTCGTTTTAAAAGACTACATTTTGTATTTAAATTTCAATAATCTAAAGTTTAATCGAAGTTAACTATACTTTCAACAACTGATAGTATACGAGTGTCAAAGAACACACACTATCCTTTGAATTATTTACTGTCCTATTGTCGAAATTTCTGTGTATTTCACCATCTCAAAACAAAACCTAATTATACAGCATTGTAGGCTTTCACGGCCGGAGTCAATATTCTTCATGTCTTCCGGGCTGATGGGCCGTGGTCCAATTGGCTCTGGGATGCCAAACGTAATTAATTGGCCGTAGTTATTTAGGCTCCAAAATACATTTAAAAAACAGTTTTGTATGAAACAGGCCCTAACATTTACCTTACCATTTTACAATTCGAGGGCCGAATTGGACACCCTTATATATCTTAATTAGTTTAATCGCTGAATAAATGTGTAAGTAATACATTTTAAATAGACGTTACGGGGTCATATGTTTTGACTATAATTATTTGATTATAATGTGCGCTTTATTAATTGATTTTTTCATGCATGTCAGTTGAAATGAATTTAAGTAATTGATTAGCCAGTTGGGTCGCAGCGGCATCCCCACTTTTTAACAACTCTCGACAACTCTCCACATGGTGTGCTGCGTTGTGTTGCGTTTCCGGTAAGTTGCGGTTGTCATATCGTGTCCTTTTTCAGCGCCGAAGGTCACGATTTCATGTCCGACACTTCGACCAATCGGTTCACCAGGCCAATCGGTTCACACTTCGGCCAATCGACGTCCCCAGGGCATCCGAGACCAATCTGCCCACTGTCCGCGCGCGCCAACGCTCTCCGGCGGCGACTCACCTTGCCGACGAGCTTCCCGAGGCCGCCCAGGATGGAGGGCAGGAACATGGCGATGAGCACCGACTTGACGATCTGGCCGCCGATGATGATGGGCAGCAGCAGCTTCTTGAGCGCGAACGCCAGGAAGCCCAGCCCGAAGCCCGTGAGGAAGGAGCTCTTGCCCGTGACTGCTGCGGACACAGCGCCACGTCCTCAACGGCTCACAAAGCCCTTCGATTCGGCGACACAGAAATGATCGGTGTCTTTTCGTTTGAAAGTGTACCCAAATGCAGCAGAATCGAGTTAATCCGAGGTTCGCCAACCCGAGATTATGTGCAATTCGAGATGAGAAAACAAACACCAATGTGCGCCAAATCTGTCTGCTACGGATTGTTGTGACTGGTTCGAGCTCATTTGGTTTCCTCATTGTACAGTGCGTAACTACAAAAATTTGAAACTTAATGTATGTATGTATCTGTACCTTTAAAAGTATCTGTGAATTAAGTTTCACCTCGTTTTACATTGGAGTTGAAAATTCCGTTATGTATTTTACTTATTGTTATTCGAGTTTTTTTGTAATCAGAGGTGCCATCAGCCCAATTATTTCGACGTATCACATCTACTATATTATTATTATTATTATTATTATTATTATTATTATTATTACGGCTTTTATCCTCTCCTTTTGATTTATCTCCTTCCTCTCAAATGCCAGATAAACAACTATATCCGATTAATTTCAACGTGTTAAAAGTATTTTTGAACACGGAAAATTACTCATTTAGTTATGAATTCTTCATATTGCACCAAGACTTTCTTTGGAGTGTTTGTTTGTAGTGATTATTTAGTGAATAGTATTTTTAAAATTTATTTTCTTAGTCACATTGACATCAATGGACGTTATTGTAATCGCTAATGTTCACTGATATCGAAGCGACTTAAAAAAGAAATTTAAAAAAATACTCTTCACCAGGTATAAGCACCACAAATAAAGTATTCGTGCAATGTGGAGACTCGTGCACGGGATTGTCCTTGGGATTAACATGGACAACGACGTAGATTTGTATTGTTTGAACGCATTTATAATAAAAATGTCGCAATTTGTTTGAATGATTGACTGCTCAGGTTGCCTTAGCTTGAATCAACCTACGTCCTGTGTGACGATTTTCAGGTACCAGACTATTACTTCCAATCGGTGAACATAAATCATACATATGTTTCCATACGGGTCAAGTTTAATGAAGAAGAAGATTCAGTGAACCAAGATATACATGTTAGTGTATCAATTCAAAAACACGATTTATACATTTCTTTTTCCAGTACGATTTTATTCACGTGCGTCTTCTTTCTAGAACAATTCCGGAGGTTTAGTAAAGGCGCACAAGAGTATGTCTCTTCCACGGTTCCAGAAGCTATTGTGGAGATGTACGTTTTCTAAAACTCCAGAATCGTTCGCCAATGGAAGCGTGCAAATCGGTTCATAGAGACTACTCTCTTGTATCGATCGACCATCTGTTCGCTTGGGTTTTGAAACGGACGTTTATTAGTGTTGCTTCGTGAAGAAATTTACGGAAGTGGAACTCTTTGATGAGCGCTGGAATCTCCTTGCAATTAGATAGTTGGATCGTGAAGATCCTCATCATCACCTCTCGTTCAATGCTCAGATGCTCAGTAATGACACAGATCCCATGTCCCACAAATCCCGTACACGCCCCCCTCTCTCTCTCTCGCATTGCCACGGGCCGCTCCAGAAAGTATTTCTTTGTAAGGGGCGACTAAAGTCAGGATTATCTCCATAAATATAATAATTAAAAATCATTCCAAAACTTGAAACCAATAGCTTTCAGTATTATACTATTTTTAAAAACTGCGTGTATTCCACGAATGTGTAGAAAATAAGGTTGCAATTTTATCATTAGCAATGATTCATAATTTATTGTTGTCATTAAATATTCGTTAGTTTCAATTTGGGGGATGTGTCACCATGTTCCACTGGATCCGCTACGTGACTTAAAAATTTCTAAATAATGATTCTGTTTTATTTTTGACAATCGTGTGGTAAGAGAATGAGTGATTTCAATTATCATGTTACTCACGTTTTTGCCTTTTTTTCATCATCAGGCTTTTTATTCGATAAGATATTTACGTTTACCTGCGTATATCATTTTAGTTAGTTACATGAAGCCAAACTAAAATTTAACGAGAAATATAATAATCTGACAATCACACTAACAAGATACACTAGTTTATTTTCAGTAATTATTTACATAAATGTAATCGTGTGGTAGAGAACTTTTACAAGCCGGTACTTCATACCTGGGAATTATGAACCAAATGGGAGTACATGTATCGATTGAGGAAAAACTTCAAAGCTATATATTATAATTAATCAGAGTAACGACCCACTTAAACGACCAAGACACGTTTGAGAAGATCAGGAAAAGGAGTGGTATGCTTTATAGATACTATTTTATTCCGAGAAACGAAGGAAAAAACAAAAACAAAAAAAAAATCCCATATCATCAAACCAAATCTGGAGCCAATGTAACATACTACATTTTAAAACTATTAAGGATATCAAAAACTTGAAGTAACTTCAAAAACCATAAACGGTGGTGCACCGCACCAAATTGATAATGAGCAAAGCGTGGAACTCGGAGAATATATTTTTATTCAAAACGAAACAAAGATAGCGGAAGCTGTTTTTTGGTAGTTTCATTGAATTGTACTAAGTACAAAAGAACTTTAAAGAGTATTTTTTCGTAGTACTTGATATATTTCTATTTTATTCTACGCGATTATTAAAATACACACAATATTTAACTTTCCCAATTACTTGCTAGAGTGTATTTCTAATGTTTCCATTTCACCGAAATTAAAGATTACATGTCCGGATAATCTCTTGTGGTAGAACTAGTAACAGGACCCGTTATGGGATTACATGGCGTGGCGTTTGGTAATTCCTGTTAGAATTTCCGACGCCCAGAAGAACTTCAAGGGGTAGTCATTGAGAAACTCCACGGGGTCTGACACACTCCGCATCACCTTACAGTGAGCGCGTGTTGATTCCCGGTGGTCGACTGCGGTGGTTATTAGGCCCGCAAGTGCGGTGTACGCTATATCCCGGATGTGATGCTGTTCCTCTCCCACTAGCACTTGAGATCTGGCGCCAACCCACACGACGTGAATGCTCTTGGCTCGTCGCAGGCTGCAATGCCTGGCAGACCAGTCGTGGCTGGCGAGCCTGGCGGACTCCCTGAGGAAGACCACGACAAGATGGTCGCAACGTCTGCATCACAGCCTGCGACGCGGAGTCTCTCGGACAGACAAGAGCACTCGCAAGACTGGCCTACGACTTCACTCAACCTGCATGTCCATTTGCGAAAGGGGGTCCCCCCTTGAGGTATCTCCCACATCGGAGAACCGTCCCAGCAGAGACAAGTTGTAAGTTCCCGAATACTTTACAGACATGTGCGGTAGTGTAGTGCATACAAGTGTAAGTGCAAGTAAAGGGTGAGAAAAGGACGAGGAAGAGAAAGGAACGATCGTGACCCATTTGTTGGAGTACTACTCCGGCATTCGCACAGAAGTTATATGAGAGGTCTCGGAAACTACTGATCAGCTCAGCCGACCGCAAAAATTCTCCTCTAGACAGCGGTTATCTTTTTTAACACCTTTGTTTACTATCGGTTCACTCATACTGATATTACAGTTTTGCAGGTACTGTTACAAGATCTGGGATAGGGCATAAGCAAGTGGGGAGTTCATTTTATGCAAAGCTGTCTGTTACGTTTGATAGGTATGTCTTGAATAAGAATCTGAAAATTTTTGAATTCGAATTTTTGTTATTATTAAATGTGATGCTTCAGAGTTTAATGATCCTTTTTTTAATTAAAAATTATTTTAATTAAAAGTGATTTAATTAAATTTTGTAAGCTTAATGAAGAGTTTATCTATGATGGATGGGGTTTGTTCTTTGAATACTTTGACTTATTTGTTTTCTGTTGAGTGAGCTAGAGTGAAGTTTTTGGCACAATCTACTTTTACTAAGTCTTCAAAAATTTTTATAGATAATCTTCTATAATAAATGCTTAGGTTTTCTATTTGCAGTTCATTTCTGATTTGTTTATTTGAAAGGTACGCAGGAACTTTATTGATATGCTTTAAATAATTATTTCTGCACCAAGAGCATTATAATGATTGAGCGGCGACAAAATACCCGTGGGCCTTGCTAATGACTAGTTGACTTACTAATTAAATTTGTTAACTTGTCTCGAATTACCTTTTCATATTTTCCTCCCATAATTTCCTTTCATAATTCCTACCTCAAGAGATCATTTGACACCATTCAACTGTTTTCTTATTTCCCTCGATCCCGGAAAGTTATGCCGTGTATATTGAACTCCGTTTCGATGGCAATAACAAGCAATAGCGTATCCGAAAAAAAAGTACGATTTCGTGGTTGCTTTCGATCCAGCTCTGTCGCTTCGCGTGCCGCCTGTCGGTTGGGTCCGTGGCCGGATGCCCCAGTGGGCCGTGTCGACATCGTCCCTCGCGAGGCCTCTTCCGCGTGTCGACACTCGATCCCGCCAGCGACCCGTTCGCGCGTTTGGCGCCGGAGAGCCGGAACCGCGCTGGCCTCGAGAATCGGGGCGAAGGTCACCGCCGATTCGGGATTCTTCGGAATTCTGCCTCTGGGGTGGAGGAGCATTATCAGTTGCAGCGATTAAACCAACTAGTTTCAGGTGTGCCGACCTGGGTGGCTAAGAGCATGTACCGACTCAGGGCTTCGGTCCTAAGGGTCGCCGGTTCGAGTCCCACCTTGGGCACGGTCCCTAGTCACGGCATGTGTTGTCACGGAGAGCATCGTGTTCTCCTGACCCCCGATCAGAGGAGGCTGCTAGTGTCTTCGTGTCTAGTGTTCGAATGTGCGAATGTGCCTCCCATCGGGACCGGAGTACTGCCTGCCGTCTGAAAAAAAACTAGGAAGAAGAAGAAGATGAAGAAGATAAAGAAGAAAATGAAGAAGAAAATGAAGAAGAAGAAAAAGAAGTTTTCGGTGTTTGAGAGGAGATTTATCGAATTTGTTCCACTCTTCAAACTTGAATGATTTGTTTTTAAGTTAATCATCTTCTGCGATATTTCACATTTCTTCTTCCTTCATTTTTGAAACCCAAAATGAATACTAAATTCATCGATTTCCTTATGTTTTCCTTATTTAGTAGTAAAGAATTAGTAGTAGCAACTGGTGGATTTGTTTATATTTTTTATGCCAAAGAGGAGCCTGCTACACAATATTTAGCATTGAAATAAATTTGTCTATGTATTCGTGTTTTACATTTACGAAAGTTTGTAAAGATAATGTAGACCAGAAATATTTTTTTGAGGAAATATTTTGAACGATTAGCCTAGTATTATATTAGTAATATAGAGAAATTAATTAATTTCAATATGTTGAAATGTGAGGATGTGCGAGGAAGAATACGGGAACGACAAGTTCTCTTTAAATGAAATAAAATAATTAGGATGTCAAACAAATTGAATGAAAACGGTGATGTTTCCTCCAAACAAAGAACGAGAAATGTGTTTACTTAATGGTGACCCACATTTCTACAAGAGGACTCGATTTCAAAGGCTTTGCATTCTTCACAGATGGCTAACCAACGCGGCGTTTGAGAACAATTCACTTGCATATCTATTCTCCGGAGGACTTTCACGTGTTTACGAGTTGAATAACTAAACGACGATTGTTGATGTGATACGTGAAAGAAAAAGTTTCTCCGCCATGTGCCAACTTTTGAGTGATATATTGCATACTTTCTTTTAATGAAAAATAGCATCTGTATTAGTTTCAGGAGAAATCATTGAATGTAAACGGCGGTTAGAATATAATTTTCTAATGTTTTGTATAGTCACACATGTGATTCACGGTACGTGGTAATTTCCAATAAACAAGCGGATCATGTTGAAAGTTTTAGTGGATTAATTAATAGGGAAAAGTTTAACTTTGTATTGTAAACATTTATTTGAGATTTATTAAATATTTTGATTTCTTAAAAAATGATTTATAGAATCATTTTCTTGTGGGATCCGTATTTGGGTACCTGGACTCAGCGCACAGTAATTAGTAATTTAGGACGTTACAAAGTAAAGAGCTTGTAAGTTGTTATTAGTTCATGTGATATGTAGTACGGACAGCCCAGAAAACTAGAAA